ACCGGAAACACGCCGATGGAGGCTCAGGACCATGATGATGTGGTCATGGTAAATGTCCAAGACGTTCATGGTGACAACCAGCAGGCTCCATCCGTCCGGTAGATACTGCATGTCCGCCATGTTCAGTAGGGACAGCAAGATCCACCAGCACCACAAGCTCAACGAGCACCACCAGTACGACCGGGAATCGCGGCGAATCCGGGAAGAGATAGTGACGGAGACGCTGATAGCAGTGACCATGACGGTGGCGACGATGGAGGACGGGGTCAGCAAGCCACCAGCAGCCCCGGTGGGGGATGGAGGGGATGCAAGGCGTGGAGCACCAGCGGGACCGGTTGTCATGGCACCCCATGGTACCACCACCAGCACAGCACAGGCAGCACAACAGCCGTACGGAGCTCCGGCCACATCTACATGGGTCTATCAAGCGCCTCGTCATGAAAGGAAGCTAAGATTGCCAAAGTTTAAAGGCCTAGATGTACCCAAACTGACAGTGAAAGCCTGGCTGAAGGCGATAAATAACGAGCTACGGCGGCAGACAGCGATCCTACGGACGAAGTGGCGGGAGCACGAAGTCTTAATCGAAATGGTCGCTAATTTGGAATGTGAAGCTCTGCTGTGGTACGACACCGTAGAGGACTCCTTCAACCGACGTGAGGATCAGACCTTCGGGAACTTGAGCCGGTTGATGAAAGGCAGGTACATGGTACAACGATCGAATCCTGAAGTGGTTGCCAGACTTCGACAGCGGCGACAGCAGCGAGGAGAGCCCCTTGTGGCACGCGACTCTTGTACGGGGACACCGCCCAACCACACTTAACGAAGCCGTTAACGCAGCCGTCGATCAAGTCGGGGAATACGGAGAAGGTTACGGTGTCGGCCTGGCAATGGCTTTGCGCACTCAGGATGAGCGAGCGGCTACGGCAGGTGCGACGGCGGCTCCGGTGCCAAACGCGGCCCCAATGCGACCTTCACTAGGGACTACGGAACTGGGTGCTGTTGTCTCCGGCTACGAGAATTACGGACTGGTGAATCGTTCAGACTTCCAGTATGGCATTGAAGGCAGGCTGATGGTACCCAAGAACAACACCGTACTTTAAGGAGCTGAACAATGGAATGCCGTGATCCCAGTTGGATATCGGCTCGTTCCGGAAGAGGCAGTGACATCTGACTACGCATCAACCTGCAAGCTGTGGGACCAACTCAGAACACCGGGCAACGGCAACATATGACGCGAAACCAACGATCGGATGGGGGAGGAAAGCCGAACCGCCGTGCTGGGAAGACCTTTAAGTTGGAAGGACAAAACACCGGTCAGCAGATGCAGCAACAGTCGAATAATCGATGGTCAGGTGACAGTGGTAGCGGAAATACTGAGCCTTTACGGACCAAGGAAGATCGATTACGGAACCACCAGCGATACTTGGACAGGAGGACGCAGCCGCAGGCACCAAGGATGGCTACAGTGAAACCAGACGACATGTACTTCTATTGCCATGGCTTTGGTCATCATACGCATGCCTGCGAGTTGAAGAAGGCTGATTTGGAAGAGAGCAGCCCTGTGGTTGGGCCCAACGCTGACGTCCACAACAACAACTCTGATAACGGTGCGGGAAACGAATCCAGGATGTAGGGGCCCCGGCTCGGCATCCTGCAGAACTTTCACGGGGTTAGGAGCAGAGCGAGGAACCATCGTCTGGAGAAGGCGCCTTGGCTGCGAAGGAGGTTAATTTCTACAGACAGGTGGAGGAGGTGGAAACACCATGAGGCGGAAGAGTGAAGGACGGAAGAGTATGTGGTCGCCAACGAAAGAGAAAGCGGAGATCTCCAGAGCAAGACTTGGAGCAGCCGGCAAAAAACCGAGGGCACCGGAAGGCGGAGGAGAGAGACAACAGGTGCTAGCAACGGTGCTGGGCGGCGGTACGCGTCTGAAGGACGCCACATCCGACCAGCAAGGGGTGGAGGACCAACTAGTTGAGGATGCAGGTAACGGCAATCAACCAGCGAGGGGCGTTGTGGCGGTGGAACAGCCCGTGGTGACGATCAGACGGGTGCACTTCGAAGATGAGCAGGTGTTCACGCGTGGGGTTGGCGAGACAGCACCGTTCAAGGGAGAGGATCCTACGACAAATGACCTCACTGCCGAGGCCAAAACCTCAGTAACCAGCTGTGTCAGGATGGAAGTACTGCCCACGGAACAAGTGAACGCGGGGTGCGTGAGAGCTAACGGCAAGTAGAAGAGCCCACAGATGGAATAATCCGCGAGACTGACGAAGACGAAGAAATCAAGGGCGTCGTTACGGATAACAGTACCAACCCACCACAGTGCAACGGGGTACCTTCGACTGGGGATGTCGCGGCGCTCACACAGCTGATGAATGAGTTGACGATGGAGGCACGACGACGCGACGAGCCTCGGGCAAAGATACTACGACTAAAGGTAGCGCAGAGGTAGGAGGACATCCAAAAAGCGGAGGCGGATCGACGATGGGAGAATACGCAAGCCACGAAGCAGGAAAAGGTGTTTCGCCGGGCTTGCATCCGGACGATGTAC